GACGTTAATAGATGACGAAGGTAAATGAAACGTCCAAACATGATAATCATGACATGAAAGTTATGTACGGCATAACTTACCTCCGCCTCTTAACGTTGTGCTGATATTAAAGTGACCTATCACCCTTCCTCATTCGTGCTTTGCATATCATCGATTCCCACTGTACATGGGATCTGCCTTTTTTTTTTCTCTGTCACTCCGCAAAAATTAGGAAGAAGGCAATTGGTGCTTTTGCTTCTTTGCTTCACCGTCCGAGACTTTCATACACCCAAATTACTGAAAACGCGTGGTGCAGATGTACAGCTAGAACTTGATGACACGACGGAAATCCGGGGAGCCATGACGGTTGCGTGACGCTTGCTTGCTTGCTCGTTTTGCAATCGACGGAACAAGGTACTGACAAAACTCGATTGCACAGGATAGTTCGCAGAGATGCGATTGTTAAAGGCCACTCGCTCCGTATGCCTGAAGTTGCCATGAGGTTTGTTGTAGCTTTATTGTTTGTTTTTGTGCCCAATGTTTGGCATACATCCGTAAATGGCTGCTCAGAAGTGTACATATGCAGGTGACAGCTTATATATTCAGCGTCCACCAAAGCAGGAATTCACAGGTAATGCAGCTCAGGCAACTCACAGACGAATGTGGGAAAAAAACCTTCTAACTCGAGTTCCTCGTAATTTTTTTTCTCCTGCTCCGAATACGGAGACAGCTATTTCCTATACGACGTATCGTACGCGATTGCAGTGAGCTGTCTCGCTTCATCGTGTAGTAACTCTCTGTAGCCTCTATAATACTCCGACACGCATCTCAGTGAAAAAGAAGAGATATGTGGAAGAGAGAATGTGATTCTTTCCGAGCCACTGTTCCCATAATAAAGCCTCCGCTATTTGTATGCGCACGCAAATCGCCCATCAAGCAGGACCAAATAATGCTGTACTACATACTCTATACGTTTGGCATTGTTATCTCGATCGTCGAGGGTAATCTGGGCGGGCCGACACCGAGCAAGACGCCTCGCGAGAAGGTTATTTCAACTGATGCTGCGGGAATTGCTAGTCCCAAACAACCTCACAAATCTGTAATTTTCTCGCGCCTGTGGCACAATTTAGCACACTCAAGGTATGACGGACTATACAAAAGCTTCCTATATCTTGATTACGCGTATATCGTTTGGGTCTGAGTCGAAATGTGTCCGTCTGAGAACAATAATTGACCGGCACGGAGTAGCATCGATGAGCCCCTCTGACTCATTTCCGTCGTTGTCGTCGTCGTCTTCGTTGTTGTTGCAAAGCGGCTGAGGCTTTGTGACGGGGCCAGGAGAAACTTTGCTGACCCAATCTGAGGCTTTCAGAGCGTTGGTGTTGGTTGGAGGGGATGATGATGATGACGAAGACGACGACGACGACCACGTTCACTATCTATGTAGCGATCAAGTTTTATTAATACTCATCTGAACTTTAAATAAACCTCCCCTATGTAAAGTTAGGTGCGATTTACGGCAAAATAAGCAACATGAAATGAAACAAATTAAAGTCACACACTGGCACAGCGTTCTGCATGGAAGACGAAGAGAAGTATCGTACAAAGATACATTGAATATCTTCAATATTTAATAATGCCACTTTTGAGTACGTATTCCACCTAAACGAGAACTTATTCGTGGCAAGACGCGCTTCGTGTCCAACACGCGAAGCAGGCTGTTGTGTTCTTATAGTACCCAGTTCTCTCACAGAACCGCTTAGAAACCACAAGAGGGCACGTGCATCGTATACTTGTGTGGGCAGTCTAAGCGTATTTAACTGCATGCGAAGCTGGTTGCAACACCGTCCTCCTGCACAGCATGACATGCGTGCGGTCGGCCGACGTGCTTGCGTGGTGCGGCCACCGAGACGATGGTGCTTCCTGGTGCGTCCACGCAAGCCGGCCAGCTCTGCAGGTCCTCGGCTCTGTTGCGCGGGCGGCGGTGCCGGCTCGCTGGGCCGCTGCGGCCACTAGCCGGGGCCGGGAATACGCATGGCTGACTGCTGCTGCACCCTTCCGGCAACACCTCGGGCTCTTACGAGCACGGCAGGCACGCTACTTGCCGCTGCTCAGACACTGCAGGGTCCGTCTATACTTCCTCCCACTTCCGCAGCGGTATGCTGGGTTTCGTCCAACAGCCCGGAGAGCGCCCCGCGGCACGTGCCTTGTAGGTACACTCATCATTCGTACTCAAAGAAAACGAAAGCGCCTCTGGTCGTAAACCAAGAAGAGACGGCGAAGTAAACAAGCAAGAAGTTACCGCTCCTTCCCCACTCCTATTCCGAGGGGGGGGGGGGGGGGCATTCGTTTATGAGCCTACACAGAGTGCACTTCCTTCTTTCACTCTCCACGTCATTGCTCTTCGTTTCTACGCATTTATTAAATATTTCCGTGCTTATTCTTTCTTTCCGACTCTTCCCATTTGTTTCTGCTGAATTTTCTGCCTCGAGCACGCTGCAGTCGACTAGAATAGACAACAATGTTTTACTGAATACAAGACCGACTTCACGCGTTCGGTAGCTTAAGTACCCTTGGGTAATCGAAAAAGTACCTCTCTGCCACGTACTCCCGTGTGAAACAGAAGTCCTTGCGATAGAAACCGCAACCATGCGGAATGCACTGCTTCGCTGGGGCATTCAGCGTTGCTCTTACACGAACATACGCATGGGGTGGGGGAAGGGCATGTGTTCGCTTTTTTTTCTCCTTACCAAACCGACATAATGTCCTGCTGACTTCTTCTGGTAATCATAGCACCCCTTCACGTGCAAAAAGGATTTCACGGAGCAGCTTTCCCGTATAGACCATTTTTCTAACTTTAAAGCTAGCTCTCCAGCTGAAAAGTTTGCCCAACTAATGGCGGTTAGTCAATTACTGCACGTTTGATTTCCTTATAACGTAGAAAATGCAGTGTATACTTTCTGACACAAACACGCATAATGGAGAAGACCCAGCAGTGCAACTAAGTGAATGGCAACCCGGCAGGGGTTGCCATTCACTCTGAGACCTGGTCGCTTGACTTCTCTTTGCCACTAAATCACGTACAAGTTATACAACTTCACTAAAACACGGCGACCATTCTGCTCTCGGGATCTCGCATGTGTAGAACGATGTCGTCAGCAGAAAATGACTGACTAAGCGAAGGCGGAAGCGATCGCTTCGGAAGTTGTTCGCCTTCGTCTATACGCCTCTCAAGTCACGATCCATCCGTGGGTGCTTGCTCTCGAGAAACAGCGCCGGCGGCCTCTGGTGGACGGTCGTTCTCCTGGCGTCCTTGTCTCGTCCGCGTCGACCATTACGGTCTCGTGGGAAGTGCAAACGCGGTTACCTCGAATAACGGAGCGCGGCACGGGGTACCTTGACCTCCCGCGACGCGAGAACGTCCGTGCACACGACGACTGAATGGGAGTATACGCTCGTTGCGCTCTTGAACAGGGCGGAGCCGAGACGCGTTCTCGCCGAGTCACGACTGCGGAACAAAAAACTGTCGAGGAGTCGTTTTGTGTGAACTGCATGCTTTCGGCGATCTCCGTAGTGTTGTTCTCTGCGATGGAACCAGTCTGGAAACGCTTAGTCCTGCTCACTCGCCCTCTTGCGGGAAAATGCTCGCTTCTTGATGACGCGGTAAAATGATACGGCACAGAGACAGGGAGTGAGTCAGTAAACGAAAAAAAAAACAAGGATTGATTGATTGATATGTATGGTTTAACGTCCGAAAACCACCATATGATTATGAGAGACGCCGTAGTGGAGGGCTCCGGAAATTTCGACCACCTGGGGTTCTTTAACGTGCACCCAAATTTGAGCACACGAGCCTACAACATTTCCGCCTCCATCGGAAATGTCTTTAATCGTATAAAATGTTCATTGCGACGAAGCATGCAATAATATTATGCTCAGACATTACAGGGCAAGACATGTAAACTTGTCATTTTTTTAGCATTGCGACATTTGCATAGGCACCCCACAGCGCTCATAATGACATACGCATGACGCCGTTAACAAAAATGAAGATAAATGCCGAAAAGGCTTTTACCACTTATTACACCAGTGTGCTATGCGGGCTTACTGCGTCAGCGGCGCAGCCCTGCTGCATTTCATCATGAAAAATTGTGGCCCAAGCTTGTAAATTGGTTCACTTCAGGTTCTTCCTGGTCATAAAAAAAAGCAAGCAAGAAATAAATAAATGTAGAAAGACAGAAAGAAAGAGAGAAAGAAGCGACCGCCCATGGACACGTACTTTTCTTGCGATGACACTGCACTCACGTGTCATCACTAGTCTACGATCATAGCGTTCGAGCAGCTTATCAATTATCTATTATTATATTCAGCGTATTACACGAGGACATTTGATCACTGTGCATTAAAGGCCTTGCATATATTACCGAACATCATTCCCGCTTCCGGAAACTCGTTTCTGTGATGAGTTACAGAGGCTGCGAATTTGCGATCAGACCTTTTCAATGCACTTGAACGATCACAATCATGGAGGGGGTTTTGTAAATGACACAAGTTTACTTGCCCATATAGAGTTTTTCGATGTGTCTGCACGTATAAAGTTCTCCCTGCTCAAGTTTTTAAAGCTAGCTTCTCTGTACGTAGAGACTGCGTGTGGAGAAGCCCGCTTCTGGATAGTACTCCTCTTCGATGGCAACGTCTGGCATGCGGGAAGCATGAGGTAAGTTTGCAATAGTTCACTCGTTTCTGTGTAAGAAATTAATTTTCAAGTCACGCGTTCTCCATTCGAGGTACGAGTTTCATTGTAACGTGTAAGCGTTACAGAAGTCGACACGATACAATGTGGCGACAGCTGGGTGCACTTCTCATAAGATATCTGTGGCTTGCACGGGTCATGTGCGTCGAAAGAACGTTTATTGAACGATAGCGCTCTCATATATACATTCTATGCCGAGGGGCGTTGCCCCCAATCTGGCGCACGTGTGCATGACTGTCACATCTCCCTTCTTAAACAAACAAAAAGACTAAAGTTCCGGCATGGGGTATCTTTGCGGTGGCCGGCGATTGCGTTCGCTTCTGCGTAGTTGTGGCTCGGCGGGGCCCACGTCAGCTTGATGTTCTTGTGTGGGGGGCACCAGTGGAGTGGGGGCCAGACGGAGATGTTCTCTGGTGCGCTGCAACTGGAGTCCATCTTCGGTCTCAACAATGTAGGCTCTCGGACTGTTGGCAGGCTTGATAACCGTAGCAGGGGACCAGGTCTTTGATGGTACGTTGTACACTGTGACGCTGGAGCCCTCAGGAAGTCCTGGTAGCGGCCTTGTACCCCTGTTGTAGTAGGAACGTTGTCTACTTCTGATGACGTGGAGCCGCCGTTGAACCTCCTCTGGCGGTATGGTCTGCGGTCGCAGGTGGGTTTCCGTGACTGGCAGCAGCGTCCTCGCATTTCGGCCCATGAGTCTCTGTATTGGAGATTTCAAATAGGAATCGCGAGGAGTGTTTCTCCATTCAAGCAATGCAGCACAAAAATCCACTGTGCCGTACCGATACCTCTTCAGCAATTTTTTGGCTTCTTGCACCGCACGTTCAGCCATTCCGTTTGATCGAGGGTGATAGGGCTGGAGCGAACATGGTGCAAGCTAATCTTACCGACAAATTCACGAAAGTCCTGGCTGCTGAATGGCGGTCCCATTGTCCGTGCATAGGCGCTGCGGGAAGCCATGAGTGGCGAATATGTCTGCGAAGGCAGCAATCACCTTGTCGGCTGTCGTCTTCACGGGCCTGATTTCGAAAAAGAAAGAATAAAAGTCAACAACCACCAAGTACTCGGTAGCGTTGTGATAGCATATGTCGGCTCCCACAACTTCCCAGGGTAGGCTAGGAATTTCATGGTTCATCAATGGCAAGCGCCGATTTCGTGGCTTGTGCTTTTGGCAGGTCTCACAGCGTCGAGCAACTTCCTCTAGATCGCTGTTTATAGAAGGCCAAAAAAGTACAGCTCGAGCACGTGCTTTCATTTTTTTCTGCTCCCCCATGCGCTGCATGAAGGCAGGCAAGAACTTCGCTGCGCATCTTGGCCGGAATGATGAGGCGGGTTGCTCCTGAATACTAGGCCATCTTGCGTATGCAGCTCGTCGCGGAAGCTCCAGTAGCATCGTAGCTCGCTGCTGACGTCAGCTTTGCTCTCCGGCCACTGACTGCTTGCGTACTGTCGAAGTTTCACCATCACAGGGTCCTGGTCGGTCTCTTGTAGAACTTGGCTCAGCCGTCTGTCTGAAACCTGCAGGCAAGCAATGGTGTTCAACTGATAATTCAGGCACTGTTCTTTCAATATTGCTTGGCTCGGGGACCGTGATAAAGCGTCAGCAACAAACAGCTGTTTTCCAGGTGTGTATTTGACGACTATCGGGTACCTCTGCAAGCTGAGGCGCATGCGCTGAAGCCTTAGAGGACATTGGCATAACGGCTTCTTAAATATAATTTCTAGTGGCTTGTGATCGGATTCTACCACAACTTCAGGCTGCCCGAAAAGATAGTCGCGGAATCTTTCACAGCCGTGGACAATTGCCAGCATCTCCCTTTTCGATCTGGGCGTACCTTTGCTGTGTTTCTGTCAAGGAACGCGACGAATACGCTAGTGGATGCCCGTCCTGTATGATCACTGCGCCAACTCCGTTCTGACTGGCATCTACCGACAGCCTGATTGGTTTCCCCTTCTCGTAGTAGCTTAGTACAGGGGCTGTCGCAAGCGCTTCCTTCAGAGCCTTGAAGCTTGCATCTTGGCGGTCCTCCCAAAGCCACGCGACATTCTTCTTTAGTAATTCTCGAAGTGGTGCTGTTAGGTCCGACATATTCGGAATAAAGCGAGAGACAAAATTTACCATGCCCAGGAACGTCTGCAGCTCTTTCTGGTTGCTTGGCGTCTGGACTTGCAAGATGTCTTCTAGCCGCTGTGGATCCAGGCTCAGGCCGTCGCGCGTCAAAATGTGTCCCAAGTACCGGACGGACTCCTGTAAAAAACGGCATTTCTTTCTGTTCAATTTCAGTTTGTACTCTCGGCAACGTCGTAGGACGTGTTCAAGGTTTGCATCATGCTGCTCTCTTGATCGGCCCCACACTAGAATGTCGTCCATGACAACCGCTACGCCTTCGAGGCCTTCTAGCACGCGGTGCATGGCCCGCTGAAATATTTCCGGCGCCGACGAGATTCCAAAGGGCATGCGCAAAAATCTATAACGGCCGTATGGAGTGCACATAGTGCAAATCTTAGAGCTTTCTTTATCCAGCTTGATTTGCCAGAAACCGGAGGCTGCGTCCAAAGTTGTAAAGTACTGGGCCCCACTTATCGAAGGTGCTATGTCTTCCAATGTTGGCATTGGATAGTGCTCGCGAAGCAGAGCTTTGTTTAGGTCGGAAGGATCAAGACAAATGCGTACCTTCTCTCCTTTTGTAACAACGACCATGTTGCTGGCCCACTCTGTCGGCTCGGTCACTTTCACGATGACTCCAGCAGTCTCCATGCGGTCGAGCTCAGCTTTCACCTTGCTTTGCAATGCTATTGGAATCCGCCGTGCTGGTTTCACTACTCCCTGGGACCCGGGCTTGAGCTTTAGATGGTAGACAATACCCTCCAGTTGACCCAGACCTTCAAACACGTCTTCGTAAGGCTTGGCAGTGCCGTAAAGCTCTATTTGGTCGACAGAGCAGACACGTTGGAGCAAGCCAAGCTCTTCGGCAACTGTACCGCTCAAGGTCACGGCGATTTCGTCATCCACGACGAAAAACTCTGTCAGAATCTTGCTTTCTCTCGTTGCCACTTCAAGACGAACTTGTTTCGTCGCTTTTTTCTGGAAGCCAAAAAATGTGTTTAAAACAACGTTGCAATCAAGTGGCTGCTTGTTTGTTATTTTCTGCAGCTGGCTGCGTGCTATAACCGAGCATGTTGCGCCTGTGTCTAACTTGCAAAAAATAGGCTTTCCTTCTATCTCAACGGTAGCCGTCCAGCGGTCGTCTTTCCCACGGGCATGCGATAGCGTTTCTAACCAGAAATCGCCTTCTTCTGCATCGACAGATGCTACTGCGTGCTCTTTCGAATGAAATCTTTTTTGCATCTTCTTGCAGGCTATCGCAAAGTGATTTCTGCCACCGCATTTCCTGCACGTGCGTCCCTTTGCTGGGCACACACGGTCGGTCTGATGAACCTTTGCGCACTTTGTACAACGCTGACCTTTCGCTTCAGATAGCGCGTTCATCTCGGCTGCGTAATCGCTTTTCGGGCGCGCCTGTATCTCTTCACACTGTTCTTTGCCATGTTCACGAGAGCGACACATTTCTACGGTCTTCGTGAAAGAAGCATTTTCGGAGATTAGCTTTTCTTGCAGCTTTTTATCTCTAATTCCGAGAATAATACGGCTTCTCAGCATACGCTCTTCAAGCTGCCCAAACTCGCAGCTTTTTGCTAGCACTCTGAGGTCTGTCAGCCAGTCATTGAAACTTTCACCGTCCTTTTGGTCGCACTTTCCAAAGCGGAACTCATGGTAGGCTAAGTTTAGAGCTGGTTTGTAAAATGCCTCAAACTTCATTTTCAGTACTTCTACGTCCGACTTCTCTTCGTCAGTTGCAAAATCAAGAGTGCTGTACGTCTTGCGTGCGTCCTCTCCGATAATCATAAGAAAGGTGGCTGCCTGTACCTCTTTCGGTTGCTGGTTCAGGTATGTTGCCGTTGCGAAGAGCTCGAACTCTTGCCGCCATGTCTTCCAGCTTCGCCATACGTCTCCTGTGGTGTCCAGGGCTTTCGGCGGTGGCAATAGCGTGGTGACTGGTCCGCTGGCCTGCTGGCGCTGTTCCCCGTTCTGCATGCTTGTAGCTGGTTGGGACCTCCGAGCCGCCCCTGTTGGCTTGCTACGCGTCCGCTGTTCGTTCGCCGGCTGCGTGTATCGGCTGCGGTCCGACCACTTCTGACACCATGTGGCTTGCACGGGTCATGTGCGTCGAAAGAACGTTTATTGAACGATAGCGCTCTCATATATACATTCTATGCCGAGGGGCGTTGCCCCCAATCTGGCGCACGTGTGCATGACTGTCACAATATCTAAGAGTGGTTATTTGTGAAACATACGAAACTTCCCATCATGCACTGGGGTTATCGATTGCCTGCGTGAAATACTGTCGCTGGACGCGTTATCAACACAATTTTCATTCATAACAACATCTTATGCTAGATTCGCACGGCAGAAAATTTCGTCCAGTAATGCTAATGTTGCACCAGGGCTAACAGAGATAACTAAGATACTACCAGTGATATTCTTGTATCGCGATACTGCCAAACCACGTGTTGCACTCATCATTTAGTGCCATTGGTTGGACAGTGGGAAACTGTCAATATCTGCTTTTATTTTCATGCACTTTATTACCGAAATCATCTGAGTTCACCTTCCTCAAACAGAATATGTAACCAGAATACCCCATACTCCCCCCCCCCCCTTCTTTTTAATGGTTTGTCAACTTTTTTATTTAATGGTTGCATGGCTTCGATCTTATTTTCTGCCATTTGTGGGTATCATAGACGCTTCCCAAAACATCTTCTTGTACTATGATAAGTCTATACTCTGGATAGCTGCAATTAGGAAGAAGTATCTCGTTAATTCCATTTACGACCCACCATATACTTTCATAACGTAACATGTCGCATAGCTGAAGCTCAAAGGCGCAGGCTAGAGTTCCAGCCTTCGCGACCGCATTTCGATGGCGGTAAAACACGAAACAGCACCCGGGTGCTTAGATTTATGCACACGCTAGAAGAATCCTGGGTGGTCTTTCCCTCTGTGGCAGTGCCTCATGAATCACATCTAGGTCTTGATATGTAACCTCATAACTTATTATTATTACAATTCGGTTTGCCTCAAAAACTTACCTTGATAATATCGAGAAGTTAGGCTCAGCCAACGTACACCGACTGCTCAGTCACTCCATCGTTGGCACGGGTTCGCTCATGCTATTCCTCAACTTGGCGTTTTACAATTAGACTTCAAACCCACTCTTCCACATTGCAGTCATAGCCTACCAGCTTTCTTCGACCTATTCATCCCTTTTGCAAATAAAATATATATAACTACTGAACGAAATTAAGATTCGACAGAGCCCGGTCGAAGCCCTTCGAGACTGTTCATGACGTTTTTTTGTGCGTGGGCATGGCAAAGTATTTTTAAAACACTTGGAGCAAATGCTCGAATTTATGATGTGGAAAAGGTGCGTAGTGTGTTTTGGTTAAATTTCAGTATTCATGATTAAAGCTCATTCATAACAGCTGTGTAGCCAAGGTTCTTTTATTGCGATGCTAGAGAGGTGGGTAGGAGAGGAGGCTCTACAGCTTCTTGTGTATTTTAGTGCTAGTGTATAGGTCTTTGGTTTTAGACAGTTGTGATGTACAAGGTGACACTGGCCTCCTCCCCTCTTGGTGTTAAATGGACACTGAAGCACTTTATAAAAAAAAGGAAACGAGGTCATAGTGTCATATGTAATTTCGTGCGACGAACTCGAGCATCAAGTGGAAAATAACTTTGTTTTGCCGAAAACAAGCAACAGGTGCCTCGGCCAGCATTGCAAGTCCCGCTGCCGCATGCGATTGGTCAAAGCTCCATGACATCAAGTTCGAAACGAGGAGTACAGCCAAAAAGGCATTGGTACAGCCATAGCCTTCTCAAACAGCTGACTGCGCTCACCGGCAGGCGATACCTTGTTATTATCTTTAACTGTTAAAATCAGCTAGTTCCTATTAGTAGGACGAACTGTTGAAATAGCAACGAGTTTGCCGTGCATCCGCACATGTTCGAACACGCCGATGTCAGCGCCGATAATGCAACACAGGAAAGTGTCCCAACCAGCCACCTTAAGCCGCATCGAAAACATCGACTGGTACGTATAAAATGCACTTCAGTGCCTAATTTGACTGTAGTAAACTGACACAAATGATACGTTCAACCATGAATATTAAATCCATTATAGAACAATAGCATCGGCACTCGCTTTTAGCAGTATTGGTACGGCCGGTTCGCGCTACTGCTCGTGCACCGTTCAGACACATGAGTTGTTAGTGGATTTCACTGCTCCGAAGTGCTGCACCTGTTGATACAGTCAGTATTGCACTTCACAGAGGGTAAGAAGCATGCAATGCATCAGTGCGCTACCGCGAGAAAAAGAAAAAGCCACACGAGTGCCGCTCTTTGCTGCAGAGGTGACATGAGCTCGGAACTGCGCTGCAAGCTTGCGAATGAATAGTTTGGCACATATGTAGCAGTTATGCTTACAATGCTGTTCCTTTTTCTAAATTCTGGCCTAGTACTACAGTGATGGTGTGTTGAAATGCAAGCGATATAGTTAGCATCGTTAGAAGCATGCAACTGATGTGTAGATTAGCTGACTTCGATGCTGCGTATCGATGTATCTGTGTACATGGGTTTTCGCCATAGGAGCTCATGCACGCACTGGGTCCATACGAGGAAGGAGGAGGACTACTACTGCTGCCTCGAAAATCGGCAGATTTCGCGACTGGCAAGAACATCCTAGATGCATGACGACAAATAAATTTTAAAATGTGTGCCTGAAAAAGGACCTTTTAGAAGTGGCCCTGCAACAGAATGGCATGCCAGCAGACTTAGTCAAGGCAGATGTCTGTTAGATAGCAGGAGATGAACTAGTGGTTAGGCTTTGTGTTGGAACTTCGTGTTTACAGTGCTGTGCACTTCTTCAGAAAATTAAGACATGCATGCTACAGACAGTTTGTCTACATGACGTTCAAGGAAACTGGCTAGCGAATTGAATCATTTTGCCCAGTTGCAATCTGAAATCAATCAGAAAAAGATGCCCAGAGCCCGATGGCAAACACACTGATTTCAAGCACTCTTATGGCTGATCCTTCCAAGTGTCAACTATTCCAAGTTCAACTATTGCTGGTGGATGTGAGGGATTTCACAAGTTCATGTACTAGGCTCGAGATGTACTACTGTTACAGCAGGTACTTTTAGGAGTCGCGTTGAATAAGAAATGAAAAACGCCACATACTTAGATGTGCCAGTCATTTATTCTTGCTCATCTACAGACAGCAAGGCACTATAACAACTTCGACACACATGGCAACTAGACTAAAAAAATTCAATTCACTTTATTGTCAATGTTGTGGTCTACAGCCTAATTTTAAAGAAAATAATGTTTGTAACAGACAAGCAACCACCTGCAACTTAAAACATACACATGCATATGCATAATAGTCATTGAAAAACGACTAAGTAATATTATTTGTAACACAAAAAAATTTTCACAGGCACACATAAAGCTGTATACAATTAGCGACATGCTCAGAGTTTTGTTTGAATGGTCAACATATTGCTGAGAACTCCCAATAACCAATGGCGTCTCTTTAACAGCCACTGAAAGACAGTGTTTGGCACATGTGGATGTAACTCGGTCACAAGTTCCATTAATAGGGAGGCTATTGCCAGGCGGATACCAAGGGCAGACGTATCAGCCCCACGAAATGCATCACGAATGCGTGTAAAATTGGTAGTTGGTCCCTTTAGGTGCACTAGGAAATACTGGTTGTGGTCCAAAAGATCAAGCCAGAGCCAATATTTGATGACAAAATGAAATACATCCTCAGATAAGGCAGTACAAGCAACAGCATCAACATGCACACTCAGCAGGTATCAAATACAATACAACTTACAAGGTACTCCGATGCGTTAAAAACCACTGGGAACCACAAACTTGCGCAACAATACAATCTCGTGCATCAACTACCCGAGATTAACTATCATGAGAATAGCTATCATCAACCGGTAGTCAGTCCAATGTTCTTGGAAATAATATTGAATGCTTCTCTTCCAAGAAACACCCGTACCAAGAGCTGGTTGTCGTCCCGCTCTTTCTCTCTTTTAGGAAACGCTCCTCAAAACTTCCGCAGCTTCAACAGCGTCGCCATTCGATTCTTTCAGATTGACTGAACGCACTTTAGCAATCAAACTTCACCGACAACACCATCGTTCACTCACATGCTACCACTGCAGGGCAGGCACTCACACACTGGCTAAACCACAGCCTTCCTCTCCTGCTCGACTCCCTCCACCGCTTGCTTATATCCGCTCATTACTAGTATTCTCGAATACTCAATATTCATCCTTGGTGCGCAGCATGGCCAAAGGTACTGAAAGAGCTAGATGATTCTCATCGGTTCAACGCCTCATAACATAACTCGGCAGAGCGTCACCCTTTTTTTCGAAATCGTACCAGACATTGCCAGTTTGGCGTTTTGATCAAAGACTAGTGTCAGAGGAGGAGGAGGAGGATACAACTTTATTTTTGAAAAAAAAAATCAAAGTAATTGTGGTTGGGCTCCTAGACGTCCAGGAGCCCCCTGGCCGACATTTCTAGGCAGGCCCGGTGCACCAGCCACAACTGGTCGTCCGAGCCAATGACCCGAAGAGCGGCCTCCCACGAGGAAAGGGAAGGGTTAGGGTCTACCGCCATGGGCTTTGGGCAGTTCCACAAGCAGTGGAAAAGATCAGCCCGGGGTGCCCCGCAGGTGCTGCAATGTGGTTGGTGAAGAGTGGGGTAAATAGGTGTGCCAGATAGGGAGAAATCAATGCTTTTGTCTGCAGCTGGCACCAAACTGAACTCTGATTAGGGGTGAGGGAGAAGTGCGGGGCAGGGAAATCTCGTCTACCATTTCGGTAATACCTCGTAATTTCATGGTAGGTGCGGATTCCCTCTTGTGGTTTTCTCACGGGTTTGGGTGAGCGAGCCTCCAGGGTCCGCATGGAAAGACCTCGGACATGCGCATAAACGCGCTCATTCCCAGGGATACACTCGTGGCCAGGCACCCACATGATAGTCACCGGATGAAGAAGTGAAGAAATGTTGCTCAGTATGCGTGAGATTGTCTTTGGTGCTATGCCTTGACGAAAGTATCGATAAGCGCTCTGGGAATCAGAGCAAATTTCTGTAATGGTAGAATCTACAGCCGCATGCATCACTGCTAGGGCTAGTGCAACCCCCTCAGCCACGTTGGGGCGTGCCGTTTTAACG